TTCGTCATATAGTGCCACCGGCAACCCACACCTTCGCTGATTATTATTATTTAGTGAAACACAAATTTAGTACATTGCGGGGACCAAGAGACGTGTCACACAAATTCTCATAGATTATGTCAGCGGTGAGATACTTCCCGGACGCCCATTCAGGAACAGGTGATTGTTGTAAGGGGCCACCAGTTACCCTAGCTGTTGACTTGAATTCTGATCCACAAGGGCCTGGAACAGTGTCAGGTGCTGCGTCCCCGTGGTTTCAGGTGACCAAAACAGGTTCACACTCTATTCGATCTTTTTGGATTCTGGAGGTCATGTGAATATCGTGGGTTTGGAATCAGGGTTTCCAAGCTCTTCTAGGTAGACCAGAATGTCAACCATTTTAGTTGCAAGCGCCAGATGTTTGCATTCGCCTTTTCACTTTTGTGAGGAATACCCCTTCCACATAAAAGGCAGTGAATATGACTTACCTGGTAGAAGTTATGAAAGCGTGATAGTATGAAAGTGTTTCGAGATGAAGATTGAAGTCTACTCACCCTCGGCTGCACCAGGTGGTTTATGAGGGCGATACCGTTTTTGAACATGCGGTTCTCCTTAAATATGGTGAATCCCATCAGTCAAAACTCTTCACTAGGAATTCACCTCATCTGTTCTAAAGTTACTAGTCACCTAGAGATCGGTATTCAGATTTCCGGTTCTTGCATGTTTTGTTATTGTCATTGTAAAGACAAATGGCGGGAAATAAAAAACATTTTGCCTTGAGAAAGTAAAATAAAACAAATTAGTTTTTTTTCTTTCATTTGTCACCAAGCTATTTCCTTCCTGTCTGTTCTATGGCTGTGTGATATTTTTGTCTGTGTCTAACATTCTGTTACTTTAGTGCAGCGAAACGCTAGTTGAACACACATATAACAAGGTCTTTATTTTTAATGCAGTCTGTGTACAGAAAAAAAGTATTCAATTAGGAGTCAGTATTTTCATTATTCACATAATGACTACATAATTAAATATGAAGGGAAGATAAGGACTAATCTGTAGTGATTGAGACCGAGGAACTAACAGTGGGCTGTTTTGGCTGTCTCTGTTGAATTCCTTGGAGACTCTGAATCGCTTTAGTGATCGCTGTCGGCCTTGTGTCAATGATGTATCTTTCAAATATCTGCCCTGTGATTTTGTTGGTGGCTGATCTGATACCATGGCAATAATGGGTAACGCGTAATCAGGATTTGATTCGGGAAAGACAGCTCGAGAATTGACTAGGACATCGAAAGACAGCAGAGAAAGCGAAAATTACCCACTTCTGGTATAAGAATAGCAGTTGGGCGCAGTGGTAGAGTATAATTCCACTAAAGAGAAAGCCTATTTGATAAAATCTTGGTATCATCCGGTAATATACAGTAAAAATACGGATGTCAGACTCAGTTAAGGCTCTGTCATTCGAATCAGTATAGTTTATATCCTTTAACAAGGAGTAATTTGAAGGCAAGTGTACAGCCAGCTACGAGGTAAATTCAACTCCAAAAGTGCATATTAAAGGTGCTACAGTTGGAAAGCCTGTAGTTGAATTCGGATTCTCCATTCTGTGCTTGTTAACGGTTTCGATTAATATCAGAACTTGTATTTGGTTCGGTGTATTGGCTATGAACTCTTTCAGGGATCTGTATTAACGGCTAATGGAGGAAATGGGTAGGCTTGTCCTCCCAGTAGAATGTCTTTAACTGGATGCCAGGAGTGGAAGATATCTTTACTTTGAACAAATGCGTATGTTCAAGGCACGCCTTTGTGCTTAGAACTTCTAACATAGAATAATGAAATAGGACTTCGGTTCTATTTTTGTTCGCTTTCTGATCTGAAGTAATAGCAAAGAAAGACAGACAGTGGCATCTGTGTGGCGGTATTATAGGAGAAATTCTAGTATCATCATCAGATAGACTCTCAGTGGAAGCATTTGTCAAGGATTTTTCTATTGATCTCAAGCGAAAGTCAAAGTTTTGAAGACGATCAGATACCGTTGTATTTCTGATCGTAAGCAATGCCGACTTACGATCCACAATGATTCTATAACCGATACTGAATGTTTTACTGAAGGTTAGTCAAGAATATGTAAGTTCAGTAGTAATATTAGTACTAAGTAGAATGCTGCCGTATATTAATCATAGATCATATGTATTTCAGTGCAGCCAACAATGAGCTACACCTGCTGTATGTAAACACACTGATAAAACTCATTCGAACAAACCTCCATTGGTGCAGTTGAGTTTGAACTTACGGTATTTACTGGCTGCAAGTAGATATATGTATTCGCGTGTTTGGGCCAGTGCACAGTTTGCCTTCTACTGTTCTTTTTATTTTACATTCTGACATACCTAATTCTCCTTGTTCATTATTCCAATTAAATTTAAATTCTATTCCCATTACTATAGAGTTTATGCGCATAAAATAACTAGAGATATGTTGTAGTTTTAAAACTATGAAATTGTCATCCACATATCTTCATCAAATCTTTGCAGTAAGGATGCATGTGATGAAAGCCACATTTTACGAACTTCCCATATATAGAGATCTGCTAGACCTGGAGATAGTGTTGATCCACTTGCTACTCCTTCCCCTTATATGTGTCTGTTATATTTCACCCTGGAATCCAACCCTAATTATTTTTCGTTTTGTTTGTTTAACTTGTGAATTCTTTCTTTATCATTTCGATTGTTATTCAGGTAGTGTTATAGCAAGATGGAGATTATCAGGAAATTGCAGTGTGTGTTTTTGTTGAATACATTCCAGAAAGTTTGATCATACATTTGTTTGTTAAATAATGTATATATTTGAAAAATAAAACGCTAATTAAGTTTTTCATCTTGTTATATGAGTCATTTGCTTTCCCAGCAGAACATAGGACTTCAGTTATGGGTTTATTAGCTTCAATAACAGTGGTGTTACCCATTTTACACGGGATGGGGTTGGCGGCCGCATACGCAACCTTCCTTCCTCACCGGGTTTACTACCAGTTAAGTGAGGTTTAGAAGTGCGTCGGTAGGGATTTGAACCCTAGATCACGTACACGGTTGACGGGGCACTCTACCACCGAACCACTGACACACAAAGAATTCGGATAATTAACACAAATTTAAGTAATAAGTATAAGGATTACTACGGTAGGTTAGGAGTAATAATAAATTGTTTTTATACACACAGACTGTGGCGGGGGCTTAAGTTTATGGATAGCTTTAGCCTCTGAGTATTTCAGTAAGCGCATCTGACTATTTGTTTTATAAATAATCTTGGAAGCTATTTTAATATCACTCTTGTGATTGGTATGACTTGAGTGTTTGGCTATAGATGAAGTTGGTAGTCTGCCATCAACGTTTGTCGATGTTTCATAGTTCGCTTGTTTTTCTAACCATTTAGGTATATGTCCTAACATCCTCTTATGCAAAGTGCGATTACTCCTACCTATATATGTGCGACCACAAGCACACATGAACTGGTATATATATATGGCATGGATTGGCCATACTCTGAGAAAACCATCAAGTGACATCACTAGACAAGCCATTGCTCGAGTGGAACCCGAAAGGGAAGTGGCGAGTTGGTCATCAGTGAAAGGGTGACATGGAGGAGGTCATGTGAAGAGGAGATGAAAACGTGTGGGCAGACTTGGAGCCAGGTGAAGACTCTAGCAGAGAACCGAACGCAATGGATACGCACGGCTGAATCCCTATGTTCCTCTAGGAATTGAAGGAAACAATAATAATAATAATATATATGGCATGTGATATTAATGAGGGTTGTAGTAGACCATGATTTTGGCTTTTTTCAGTAACTATAAGCTGAGCTGCATTGTAAGTTTTCCGGATGACCGAGTTTAGTCTCTCTCCTAAACTTCCACCATCTGTTTCCTCATGATCTTTCTAACCGACGGTGGTTCACGACGAAATCTAACAAATCCAATGTTCGAAATATGAATCATCAGCTCACTGATGGCTATTGGATGGATGTCCTGAAGCTGTAGTGATGAGATTTCATGCCCAGTAGAGTTAACCACATCAAAGTGGAATGGATACTCATCGAAGGATTTGGTGAGGGCAGCACTACATCATGAGTTGCGAAAAGGTTAGAATTTATGGATCATGACTGGATTTTAGCCCTAGTGTCTGAATGGTCAGCAAACTTGGCTTCATAAACCTAAGGTCCCTGGTTCGATCCCTGAAGCAGTCATGGGTAAGCACTGTTGAGGAGTTCGAAACCAGGACCAAACAGCTGTTCAGTGCCCCCTGGTTTTCACTGGTCTCTCTAACAAAAGTTAGTTCTGACGAAATCTTATTAATCCCGCACACCCTATCTATGGTGAACCATTCTATAAAGTGCATTACCAATTTGTCTTTCTCGTGATTCACATTTTTTAAAATTTCTTTTTGATTTCATGTTATTTCGTGTGTTACTTTATCCGTTTCCTAACACTGAGAAACTTCGTCAATTTTTTTCCGCAAGAACGCTGAAACCTTTGTTGCATTACATAATACTACCAAGTGACGACGGTTTACTATAAACCAGTCCGTATTATTCTACACTTCTGTCTTCTTTTAACGTTTGGTTTTATGGATAGTTGTTTACACAGCAAACTTTTTCATTCGTATCATTTACAAAGGCACAAAAATGACAAGCAGTATTGCATGTCTATTTATCCCAACTTTATTTCAGTAGAGTCACGTTTATACATAGACAACCTTTAAGGAGTTATTATATTATACGGTTGCTATATCCGATTTCCACTTATGTCTGCTTGTGTAAGTGTGCGTGTGCGTGCAGGTGGACATACGCATACTGTTCATACTGTGCCACCATCGTCTTTGTAATCCTCATCATCGGCAATCTTGATATTGCTAATTGCGTGGGTGTAAACCAATAAGGCAAATATAATTACTGCAAGCTAAGCTAAAATTTGATTGGTTAAATTCTCAAGGTTATTCGATTGGTTTTTTTTAATAGTATGTAACAGTTTCCTAGGCGAAAACAAAATCACTCCAGAATATTTAACGTTACTATCACAATTGATTGTTACTGACATTGATGACTATATATCATTAACAAAGGAAACAATACAATAAATTGCTGTGATACTATTTTAAAAACAATTCAAATAATTAAACACAATCTAAAATAAACATTTCAGTGACGACAGATTAGATATTAAGATTACCAAAATATTTCGTAAGTTTTTGATTGCCTAAACACGAAATATAGTTATGTATAATGGTTATTTTAATATATATTCTCAATCAGCATGCTTTTTGGGGAAATCATATTAAAAAGTGATTACATTTTTTTCAATTTTGAGGCATGTAACCTGGTAAAGTAACAAATAATTCGCATTGTTAAACTTCTGTTTTTTTCATGCGTTCACGGTGGGAAGAACGGTCTCTATTACACTTTGTTCTTCATAATTATTTTCATCTCTTTTTAACTAATCTCTTCATGCTGTCACTTGGATAGTGTTCTTAGAAGATAGAAACTACCCAAAAATTGTGTTCCCTCTTCACACAGTACAAGTGCACTAGTAACTGGTTACACAATGAAATAGCCTGAAGTTTTGTTGAGAAGCAGTGACAAGTGGGATCCACCAAGTTGAGTGTGAAGACAAGGATAATATTAACTTATTTTTTCTTTTTTTTTCCTTCACGTTCCCCAGTGGAACATAGGGCTTCAAGCTAGTGGCTTCAGTTTTCTGTAGCAGTGTTTATTTTACAGGATGGGGTTGCTAGCCTCATGCCCAACCTTTCCTCTTCACCAATCTTATTACTGGCTTGGTGAGCTAAAGGAGTGCGTCGGCCGGGGATCGAACCCTGGACCATGTGCATGGTTGGCGAGCATCCTAACCGCTATGCCACCGACGCACATATTATATTAACTTATGGTCACATTAAAATCATGAATTGGCAGAAGTTAGAATTCATGGGCCGTCGGGTTGGGTCCCAGTGGCCTAATGGTCTACCAGCTCTCCTTTAACCGGAAAGTTCCAGGTTCAAACCCCTGTGGTGGGTGCATACTCCCGAAGAGTTTCAAACTTGGACAAAACAGCTGTCTGGCAATCTCTGATTATCTCGTGATTCTTTAACGGACATCAATCGGTGATGATTAAACTTGGACAACCTTGAGAGCTGTTGTGAGATCAACCTCGTGATTCATATCAGTTTAGTGTTTAGCTGTGTACGAAGTTGCCAGTCTGTCACCTGCATTTCTCAAGAATTAAAAATCTTCTCTCTGTGTTAACTATTTGCGTGTATATTCTTCCTCCAAGCCTTCATAAGAAGTGAGATAACTCCTGCCTAAGTATTCATGACTGCACATAAATACGTAGATTGGTATATAATATGAGATTTGACATGGTTACTTATGCCAGGCTGCATAAAATGTTTTTTACAAATGACCACCTCCCTAAAGTAATTCGAAATTTATTTCCAGGCAAACCGTAGAAAATGCCCGTCAGGAAATCAGAGAGAGAAAAGAACAATGAAACTCAGAAAACTCAGATATCTTTCCGACGATTTCATCCTTAAAGGCTAATCAATCACATTTTCAAAAGAATGGACACGGAACAAAGAGTACTCTTTTCGATAAATTCATCGTCAGGCTCTACAATTATATATACATTATAATGAATGAATGAATTAGTCTTATGAACGACATTAATGTTTAAATAACATCAAATCAATAATATTGATAGATCACAGCTGAACAGCATCAACATCAAATAAACTGAATGTCAGAAGAATTATGAAAGATAATAATACAAATTCATGAATTCATAGTCTCTACTGAAGGCCACGGCAGTAGTAGGAGCTGGACTTGTTTCTCTTGAACACAGAGCACTGGTTGTTTGAGGCGAATTGCAATAGCCTCTGCTGTTTGGAGCATGCGGTGCTTCGACGATTTTGGTAATTTTTTAGGCACCCATTATATTATGGAGAAGGATTCTTCTACGCTGGCTTTGTGACCGGTTTGCACCAAATGGTCTAATATCGAGCTCTTAATAGTTTTAACTACATCTTTACTTAGCCATAGTGGGATATGTTCTCGAGCACGAAAAATCAAGTTCCTAGAGCAGCGGCCAATATAACTCTCTCCACAAGCGCAGTTGAATTGATAAATACAATTTGAAGTGACTAGCCTAGGTACTTCATCTTTCAGTTGAGGAATCACCATCGGTCGTGTAGAGAATAATACGTGTAGTTCGCCAGCATTAAAAGTTCTTTGAATTGATTTTCTTAATTTCTTCGTAATTACCTCACTTGGTATATCGCCCATGAATTGTAGTCGTATATTAAGTGGCTTCTTGTTTACAGATAGTGAGTAGTCCTTTTCCGCTTCCTTTGTCATGTGTTTCTTGATAAATTTGTCAGGATAACCATTTTTGATCAAAGTATCATATACAATGCTTAATTCATCTTCAATTACTTCTTCTGAGTAAATAGCTCTAACTCTGTGGCTGAGGGTCTTTACTAAATTTCTTTTGTACTTGATAGGAACGAAGCTGTGAAAATGTGTATATTGTCCTGTCCAAGTACTTTTTCTATGCAAATTTCTTTTTATGCTACCATCTGGTTTTCTTGTAAGTAGGACATCCAGGAAGGCAATTCTGTCTTGGGATTCCTCTTCGCATATGAATTTCATAGCCGAATGTACTTCATTGAATTAAGTAATTATTGTACTCCTATCAGAACCATTATCACAAAGAATGAAGATATCATCCACATATTGGCAATAAAATGAGAGCTTACTGATAAGGTTGTTCAGAGGTCCATTTTCTAGCTTACTTACTTACATTTCTATACACAAGTTTACACAGTTATGAAGTTGAGATCAAAGGAGATAATAATAATTTCCAAATTGATGTGAAAGTTCGAAGATGTGATAAATAAAGACTTAAATAGGAAATAGAAACCAAGTAGTATAGGATTAGAAACATAGTGATGCTTATTGCTTCAAATACTTTTTTTCAACAAAGACAGGTGTGAATGAGATATGAATATAAAAAAGGCTGAAGTAACGGTTTTTCAAGCGTTTTTGTAGAGATTTAATTTGTTTCAAGTTTGACCACGGATGGATGGATGTTAGTTAGTGAAGCATTAAAAACCACCAAGGAGTACTGGACAGAGCTGTTTCACCCTAGTTATGGAGTCATCGGCAGTACGCTTCCACTAGTTTTCGAACCCAGGACCTTCCGGTTACAAGGCAAGCTCATTATAATTTTAATAACTAGTGGTGAGAAAAATGAAGATACTTAAGGAGCCAAACAGAACTAGATACATAGTGAATACAGAGGTTAGACTAGTTTCTTTTGGACATATAGCTGCGGCTTTCTAGTGCAGTATGAAGAAGTCGGCAATGCACTGCCTTCGGTAGATAATTATGCACACATAGAGGCATTTATGAGGGGATTTCTATATCACTATTTGACAAAGTTAGAATTCAGGGTTCATTTAATCCCAGAACAAGTGTCTGGACAGTCAACTAGCCTGATCTCGTAACCTGAACGTCATGCGTTTGATCCTTGATAGGGTCATGGGTTCTCGACGTTAAAGAGTCCCAAAATAGGACGAAACGGCTGCCCAGTACTCCCTGGTTTTCAGTGGTCTCTTTGACTGATGTCGGCTCATGACTATCCAACTGTTAGAAAAAACCTGTCATTCTTGGTAGACGTCGTTAACACGATATGCTTTTTCGTTTTTGTCCATATCCCTATTACATTTATGTGGTCGGTGGTGGGATTGTCAATTTATTTTAGCCTTGATATGACAAACTATTATTGACTTATGTATTAGATGACATGACTGAAAATTAAATAGAAATCTAGGCTACAGTACGTCTTAGATTGAGTGGTCTTGTACGACCTACTATTGGCTGTTAGAAATATATACTGTAACCTTCATCATCATTTCATTACGCATTATATTATCTTATTATTACACACACCTGAATCACCGGTGGAACAAAAGATTCAAGGCACATGGCCACTTCACTATGTTTTTTGTTACCATTTTTAGACGTCACCACAACTGACCATCAGCTGTTGTCTCCTTCTCACACGATCTCCTCAGTGTCACTCCACGACACGCGCACAAATGGTCGCTTCCCATTCGAGCTGGCGCCGCGGACCTGGTGCGCAGTGTCACTCAAAGGACTTCTCAGTGTACACACAATTTATCCCTTTACATACTTGTTGGGTATCAGGTTATTAGTTAATTAACTCCTAGAGTTCCTTGCTGCTAATTCTTTCTGGCCCACTTGGTCTTCAGTGTGGAGCCAGCGAAGGTACCAGTTGACACACTTTTGTGCAGTAGGCTATTCGAAATGCTTTTCATGACATCAATGTCATGGGTCTATGAACCATACAGAATCACTGACCTTACGATGGGGACTAAAATAGGAACCTTTTTCTGATGCCGATTTAATCAAATTTTGCACTACAGAATCGTATAATTAATCAATAAAACAAGATTTTGATGGATGAAAATAAATTTTTTCTCGATATTCAGAGCAATTTAATCGCAAATCCCTGACATAATAGTAATCTGTTTCCAAAATGGTCATTATGCGAATTAAGACAGAACTTTGGGAAGAGAAATTAAATGGGCATTGACCGAAAAAATCTGCATCCATGGTTCATCGGTAGAATGCTCTATAGCGACTCATGTGATCCGAGTTCGATCTCCTCCAGACGCATTTCTAAATCTCACCTATATAGTTTACTAGCCTGCAGTAAACCTGTGAATGAGGGAAGGTTGGGGCACGAAGCTAACAAACTCACTTCATGTGACGACACCACTTCTACCGAAAAACTTCAAGACTTGGTGCTTGAAGCCCTATCCAACTCGTAGAATGCGGTGGGGAAGAAGAAAAGCTATGTCTCAGGTGCCTTAATTTAAACTTCTGAATAAGTCATATATCCAGGAGAGACACTGAAGTAGTCGACTATGCAGTCATTTGCACTACCTCTTTTTCTCTTCTTCTTCTTTCTTTACTCTTCACATTTTCCGGATGTTGATGTCTTCTCTGAACTCAAGTTAACATGGATGTTTCTCAGTTAAGCCATCCAGTGTTGGATTGCATAGACTTGATTGATCATAAACCAACTTCAGTTAAAGAACCAATGAAAACCCTCATTCTTGTTCGAGACATTTCACCAGCACTCACCTATTACTAACTACATC